ATAATAAATGTAAACACATGGGCCAGCTTTGGCTTTTTGATCAAACATTTCCAACGATAGAGTATTGCATATAATGAGCACATTGTGAAATACGAAATAAATATATGAAACTATGTCCTTTTGTCCCCCAGAGGAAAGGACATGAATCTCACTGCCAACAGTGTGCAGCTGGGCAGTGAAAACATTCTGGCTCCATTTTGCTTTTAATGATTTTTAATCCTCACTGCCAACAGTGCGCAGCTGGGCAGTGAAAACATTCTGGCTCTGTTACATACAGCACTGATGTTATTTAATAAAAGATTGGCTATTTTAACTGTGTTCTTTTAAATGTTGACCTCTTCATTGCCCCCTACCCCTTTTTTTTTCTGTTTCAATCAGGGTGGCTTTCCCCCCTCCCCTTCCCACTATTTTTTTTCTTCTGGATTGTATTTTTCTGTTAGCCTATGTGCAAAGATTTTCTTGCTTTTATAAACACAGAAATACATTTGAAAGGAGAAGCGTTTTTTAAGTTTTAATGCCCACATACACTGTGTAGGTTCAGAGGCACATTTTTTTGGACACATTTTTCCCCCTTATCATTAAATGCAACTGCGTAATTGCTGAGAGGGTGCGGGTTACGCCTAAAAATGAGAAAAGGCCATAGGTGAAGGTGGCAATTTAAAACACGGATCTGTAGAGCGACAGAGGAGGATTCAGGTGACCTGGGTTCAAATCCCCTCTTGGAAACTCACTGGCAGAGATGGGCCTATTAAAAATATGCCTGACATCTCTCACAAACCTTGAAAGCCAATTTGGGTTGTGACTCATAACGCACACACAGGTCTCGTCTACCTCCCTGTTTTGGGATGGTAGCAACTGCAGTCCTATACCTTGTACAACACAAACACAGGACTAGGATCAAATCTCCTGGAATTCAATCGGCCAGTATAGGATTGTGCTGGATACTGGTTTGGTCTGGGTCCACACTTTCAGGTGCCCTATAAGTTGTTAAAACTGATGGGTTGCGACCACATTAGAAAGGGCCAAAGTAGCTCTAAAAGCAGCCCTGTTATGGACACAAGCCCATATAGGCCTACTCAGAAGTAAGCCCCACTGCTTTCAGTGGGACCACAGGCCACTTCCCTACCAAGGAAGTGTGCCTCGGGGGTCCCACCCTTGGTCCCCATTTCCAAAACCTGCAGCCCCATACCATCCAGTTTCCTGAAAGGTAAAGCCATTGAACTCAATGAAGACTAAATAGCATACATGTTAATTCCTCCATATGCCGGTTTAACGAAACGGTGTGAATTGACAAGAGGTGGGGAGGAGGAGAGTTGGCAGATGACTTCGGGTGTCCACTATCAGAACGGGAAAAATTACCCTGCAGTGGGAAGTTTGAAAGGGTTTACAATTCAGGTCCAGAGCCACTCTGTTCAAAGTGATGAGTTTGTCCTGGTTTAACCCGGATGGTAAATCACT